GAAATACTTACGGTTGGCAGAGGAATGGAGGAAATAGGAACAAATGAGGAAAGAGGAGCTTCATAAAAAACAGGGCCGAGCTCGCCACTCCTNCAAGTGGCGACTCTGAATTAAATAAATAATCCCATTTCGAATATTGTCACTTAAATTGGAAAAACTCCCTCGCGCATTTATCCTTCGGGGCGGGCGTGCAAAATGGAGGTGTGACAGCTCTGGCGACTCCGCTGGGGAATAACAACCCAGAACCACTGGTTCAGGGTTCAAGAATTCTAGCTTAGAATAATTGTTATATTTGGCTTTATTATCTGATATTTATTACATATTTTGACATAACGTGTTGAATGTTGTCTTTTACCGCTTTGATATTATCTGAACTGTATATAAACTGTGCCGAAACCTTTCTCTCTTCACCTCCGGGAATGTGCTTACTGGTTGAGACTCCANGGTTATAAACTTAGTATAACGAAACCTCATGCCGGATCCCTAGTAGGAACGCTTATCTGCATCATGTTGCATTTGACATAGGGGACTCAACACAGGGGTTGGGTCCGTCTAGGACAGGCAACCTGAAATGAAAAGACCATCCTGCTGCATCCCGTTTGTTTTGCGCATCTATTTGCTTCGGATCTGCATGCTGACCGGTTTCCGAAGAAGTTTCAAAAAAAAGAATAGCAGCGTAGGGAGATAATTACTTATTTTTGGAAAAAAAAATAAAACCAATGTCCAAGTAATGTTGAAACCTCGCCGAAATTTTCTTAAAAAAAAAGAAAAATGAAAATAAAGTTTGTCTTTTAGTTTTGATTTATTCCTTTTAACCACTTTCAAAATCCAAAATGTATATAAAAATAAAAAATAAAAACAAAGAAAAAAAATAAATTTTTTTTTTGGTTTCATTTGTAGTATCTCTTTAAAAGATTTTCGAAATTTCAAAAAAAAAAAAAAAAAAGAAGTTTAAATGTATAAAGATCTCCTTAGTCTCTTGTTCAAAAAAATATATAAAATAAAATAAAGATATGTATAAAAATAGTTATTCCTCTTTTTTTTTTAAAGATTTTATTTGTTTCCCCTATTTCTGACATAACTACGCCGGTTTGATTCTCACCGGATGTGAGATACGTAGGCAACTCCCATCGGGTTCAACCCCACCTTTTGCTAAGATAACCGAAACCAATAAAAAAATGACAAATGTCGCCACTTGTATAAAGAGTCGGGTGAGGCCGTTTTTGTAAAAACAGCCGAATGTTCCCAAGCGGGACGCCGGAAGGCTGACATTGCATAAACGGCCATCTTCGGTCATCATTTTTGATCGGTTGGTCCTCGCAGCTTTAGAGTCTTTATTCGGAGTACTAAAAGGCCGCATTTTGGAAATCGAGTTCGTCGTTTTGGAAAAAATAAAAAAAAAATAAAAAATCTTGAAAAATCCAGATAGTTTTATTTTGAGTCTAATAAAAGTCTTTTCATTAGCATAATCACCCTAATAAATGTGCAGGATGAGCACGATACAAAACGAACCCTTTTCAATAATGACCAAGATCACTTTTGAGTTGCGACTATGGTGGAACGACTTGGGCAAGGAGGGGCAAGATAAAGTAAGGAAATATCTGAAAGATCTCCCGGATTTACTAGACATTCAGCCTCGGGGTGATATTATCAGATCATTGGTCACTTGCTGGGATTCAGCGCACAATGTATTTCGTTTCTTAGACTTTGAGCTCACCCCGACGTTGGAAGAAATAGCGGGATACATTGGAGGGGATGAAGCTCCATTAAGGTTCAAATACTTGATTGCACCTAGGGCCGTCACGGTACACCGGTTTCTGGATTTCCTAAAAATACCCCGAACATTTCACCATCCAGATCTTGCCAAAGGTTTCTGCAGTCTCCATCTCATGTATGCTAGATACGGCCACGAGAGCGGGTTCAATAAGCCAGATTTCAAACTATGTAGTATAGGTAACCGACAAAAGTGGGACGAACACAGGCTGTTAGCTTTTATGATAGCCTTTTTGGGTCTTATAGTGTTTCCAAGGAAAGACGGAAACATCGATCTAAAAGTAACTGG